ATATCAACATATCTGACATGTTCCAGCTACTGTATAATGGCGTATTGGCAGCGTTTTGGTATAAAGCGAGTTCACAGGAGGAAACATCAGTTCTCCTCCAGACTTCATCCCCATCATAAGGTGAGCCAGATGGTGAGGATGGATCCTCCCTGGGTTCACGGCCACTAACAACAAACTTCCCAACAGACATGACGCTGAACCTGCTGCCACTGCAAACCTTTCTTACTTTTTTTTTTATTCATTTATTTTTTTAGGCTGGTGGTAAAAAGTAGCTAGGTTAATACCACAATCAAAGATATATTTTTATGCAGGCCGGGCGCATGGATGCGCCTGAGGGAAGCAGCTTTACGTGATGCTTCGTGATGCCCATGAATTGTGCATTATTTCATGGGCGTTATGCTGCCGTGCGTTATGCATAAGTTAGGCTGTCGTTGGACATCAGTTCTGGACTGGTTATGAATACTCTTTGTATACGCCTGTGTGCCCGCGCTTTAGGAGATTCTGGGACATCGGGCATCCGTTGACTGAATTGAGTTGCTATAATGCTGATGCTGCTGAAAAATAGTGTCTGGGTGCATCCTATGGTGCAGGAAGGGGAGTAGGCTGGGTTCGGACCCAGATCCCATGGTGGTTCTGGTTCTACTGTCTCGTTTCCTACTGTTATTGATCAGGGTTCTGCAGCCATGTCCAACCACCCTGGTTAGCATGAAGCTGCTAGCTAGCCCAGCCCTTCAGAGTCATCCACACTGGGGCTGAGTCCCTAAATCTCACCATCATTATATAGAGCGGGGACTTTATAGTGAACCGCACTACTTTTCACTCCTCTGTCACATGACTCCGCCTCCGCACCTGGTGCCTGTGCCATCTTTGTAATTTGTCGCCACTGTGATTACAAATCGCATATTGCTATGTGAGGAGAGTTCTTGCAAAGGATTCTGGGATATATCTGCTCGTCTAGTGACCATAAATGTTTACTACTTTTCAAGGTGCATTGTGGGAAATTTTGAATCCACTACTTTTTCATCCAGTAGACACTCATTTAAAATGCTGTAGCCACTATATAGTGCCCTATGAAGTGGTTAGGGAGGACATTCGGACACAGCCTCTTCCCTTTTCCTCTTCCTCTCTTCTTTCCTGTGGCAGCTTTGGTGCACCACCCACTAGTGTGGCCTGAGTATTACCACCTCTATTACAGCTTTAGGTGGTTTTTAATCCGTTCACTAAAGCGTTCCGGTTTGGACACCGTGTGGACTTCTGAAAGTTTTACATCCTGTTAAAAAAGCTGCTTTAATATATGCAACACAGCAATGACCAAGCTGTAACCCAGGCAGATGTGTGGGCCAACAGTCCACCACCGTGGCTTTGCTCCGACCGCGTTCGGTCAGAATGATGGGACTCAAAGGTCGCTTCATCAGAGGCTTTATGATGAAGGCTGGAGGAAAACCAACCTCCAGCCTGCGCCAGAGAGCAGACTGAATGTGCAGGAAATGTGGTTTCTGATGAAGATAAATTAGTCCTGTAGCATCATTCAAAGGTATTATCTCACATTAATGGCCTAATTCCCTGAGATCGAGTGCAGTGGAATAATACTGTATCCCAGAAGGCTGCTCCAGGGCAGCGCTGATTAGTGTGTGCTGGGTGGAATGGGCAGCAGGGCTGAGCAGCTACTGAGAGCCTGAAAGGTTACACCAGGTGAAAAATAATGCTGCTGCTGCAGAGAAAGGGTTAAATCTGCATTGTAGCATCTCATTTTTATTTTGTTACTGCCTAAAAACACTAAATTTGACCCGTAGGATGGTCTCTTAATGTCCTCAGGTGCTTTTATTAATTAGCCTCAAACAGCAAAAGTCCGATCAAAACAGCTCAACAGAGAAGATCTGTTTGAGCCCATTGTGCTATGATCACAGCGAATGATCAAAAGCTGCTGCAGATGCTGACGCTCCACATTGATCAATCAGAGAAGCTGATCTGGCAGCTGTCAGGCAGACGGACACAGAGCTGCTGATGCAGAGTTGGCAGCATCAGGCTGTAAGAAATCTACATTTATAGAAATATGAGGAGGCTCAAACTCTATTAGCTCCACATTAAAGAAGATTTCTGCTTCATTTAATTCAATTTAATTACTTACTTTTTGGTGTTTTTCAATTGTATGGCGATCTGACCTTAAATTGTTTTTTTTGTACATGACTAAATGGATACACGCCCATTGAGGTAGTTTAAAGTCTATTTGTCGGACAAAACTAGATGGATAAACTCAAATCTGATGTCTTGGGCCTGCGTATTGACTATAGGTATGCTGGTCTGACGGGGTATGCTGACAGAACACCGGCCTGAGGTGCTGCTGCTGGAGATTCTCAAAGACGGCGGGACGTGGGGATCTGTGCCACCCCGACAGCCAAATCATCTTGAAGGGATTAGAAGGTTGCCATGTTTACCTGCTCACAAAGCTAGACAAGAGTTCACTGCGAATGGACAACAGCCGTCATGCTAGTCAGAAAGGAAACGGCTGCTGGGTCGCAGTCATGAACATGTTTTACTGGGAAACGTTAGGGATGCATCAAAACTGGGCACTAAAACTGAAGGTCAGTTCCCCTCTAACAGAAAACCAAACAAGACAGCAGGTGGAAATCTCCTGGTTGGATCTACCCGTCTGTAAGCAGAACTCTGCTGCTCTGAAAACCACCTCAGTCATGAAAACAGACTGCAGGTTATGTTCAGCAACATCAAAAAGGAGGAGGGCTGAAAGATCCTGATATTATCCTTCTTTGTGGTAGAAACTTTCATTTAGATGTGGATAAAAAAATATAAAAACTACCAAGAATACAATTTTTGAAAGCAAAAAATGCAAATGAACTAGATAGAAAACTTTGAACCAATCTGGCTGGTTGATCTGGTTGATTTATCTCTATAAAGTGACCTGAGATGACATGATGTGAATTGGAGCTTTAGAAATAAAACAAATTAAATTAGTTTGATCAGCATTTGGCTTCAGATCAAGAAAACTGACTGCTTGGGACATAAAGAGAAAATATTCTTATTGAGGCGCCACAGAGCAAATCGGAGCAGATGGCGTGTAAAGGGATCATTATGATGGACAGACGTACGGACGTTCAGCGCAGAAAATGATCTGCCTGTCACCGTGTCTGAAGCCCTGCATCAGGCGGGCATTGTCCGTTTACTTGGAGAGGCGGGACACCTACCCGAGTCATTGCGTAAGTAGGAGGACATGGCAGGGATGAGGCAGGACTGGCTCAGCAGCTCGTGCAGCACGGCCGGCAGGGCAGAGCTGTTGGGGGATCTGCTGTCTGCTGAGGCCTCGGAGCTCAGACAGCAGCTGGAACCCGCTGGGTTGATGTAGCTGGCCAAGACCTGGTGGATGAAGCAAAGACCAGACATGGAACATTACATAAAGATGGATTGTTTCCTTTCAGCGAGAGCTATGAGGCGGTCTTTGGCCCCGCCCACACTGAGCTTTCAGGAACCAACACTTTACAGAAACGCAACGACTTTTCTGGGAAACAACTTTTGGTTATTTGCTTGAATCCATTTATTCGACTTATACTGATGAGATAAAACCTAAAATAGCAAAATATATTCTCAATATTTCTGATGTGGAGCAATAAATTCTTTGCACTGCTGGTATTTTTCACTCGTTAGAACAGACTGACCTAGACTGACATTGATTCTGATTCATTTCAAAGTATAAATATATTTAGGATTATAAACCCCACATTTACAGGTATGGATCCACCTGCCCTGATCCAGCTGTTATACTTCTAACCATTTGGTGGCAGTAATGAACCTGAAAGTTACTCTCCCACAACATTTAACCAAAGATGAAGAATGAGAGAGAAACGTAGGCCGTTTCTCAATACGCGTACTTGTGCGTTCTCGTATCTTCGTGAAACATCATCAGCATCAGCTGGAGTCCGTAATTCCTGTTCCTGCTCTCCCGAATCTATAATTCCTGTTCCTGCTCTCCCGAATCTATAATTCCTGTTCCTGCTCTCCCGAATCTATAATTCCTGTTCCTGCTCTCCCGAATCTATAATTCCTGTTCCTGCTCTCCCCGAATCTATAATTCCTGTTCTTACTCTCCTGAGTCTGTAATTCCTGTCCCTGCTCTCCCCGAGTCCATAATTTCTGTTCTCCCTGAGTCCGTACTTCCTGTTCTAATTCTCCCTGAATCCGTAATTCCTGCTCCTTTTCTCCCCGAGTCCATACTTCTGTTCTTGAGAATTGAAAAACTGTCAGAATCTTCGCATCATTTGTTAGTTTTAATAATGAAAACAACAAAAAAATAAAAAATTAGAGAAAGACACAAACTTTCTTAAAATTTGTTTCCAAACCAAAATGAGAAGGGATAAGGACCATTACGATCGCTCATGAATAGAAACATGAAAACATTTACAAACTTTTTTTTAAAGTTGCCTCTTCCGTCGTATCTTAATCTTTTTCTCATCACAATGCGAGAGATTTCAAATGGAAAAATCAGATAACGAGCCTTATTCGTTTTTTCACTTTTTGGAAACAAATACTGAGAAATCTTGCTTTTGCTTTTTTAATTTAAAAAATAAATCAAAATACCGAATGATGCAGGGATTAAACTAAACCATTGATGGAACATTATGCTGCGCATGCATTGAAAACATTCTACCAAAGACATTTTTAGTCTCTTTTTGTTTAAAGGTGACTGGTGAACAACTTCAAGGTGCATTACTGCCTCCCAAAGGAGACGACAACTCCATCCAGAGCTGTAGTTTCTTCCTTGGATTTTTTGCTAAATTGTGACATCTAAACCTGCATTCTTTCAGACAAACATCCAAGGTGACGTTTATGCATGACATGATAAATACTAATCTTCAATGTATTTCCTATTTATGGACTTCCATTAACTCATTCAGACGCCTGCATCATTACTGACAGATATCCTGCGCCATAAAAAGGCTGCAGCTGCACCCTGTGGGACGTGGAATGTCTGATTATAGATACCATCAAAAGCACACACATCAGCAGAGCGTCCTCACCTGAAGTAAACAGGTGACATGTTCTTCCTCCAGTCGCTGCTTGGTGAGGGCCTGTTCCACATCCCAGCCTGATGCTGTAGATCCAGTACCAAAGCCGGTTCCTTTAGCCCAGTAGAGTTGCTGCTCCTCGCTGGTCCCACCGCTGTGACCACTGGACAACTGCGTCTGCAAACACAAACACTTATAATAAGCACATCAGCAGGTCAGTAAAATCATCTGAAATCAATATTTTGGTTCCTTGGATAGGAGGAAAGTCCGTCTCTGTGAGGACTGCCTCTTTTTGTTTGCTAACCCTTGATTAGCATTAGCATCTACTGCTGTCCACATTTTTACTTTTCTTTTCGGGTAGGGAGAAGATGCTGTTCCTCAGCTCTTACTAGGATCTGGTAACGCCTGAGCAGTTAGACCAAGTCTCAGACCAAATAATGGACCAAAAAATATTGTTGGTGCAGAATCCTCTCGTCAACTTTTCTACCGTATCCAGAAGTATTTATATATCTTAGAACTGTCAAAAATGATAAGAAATCATTTATATATTTTAACTTAATTAAAGAATTTGTCGTAATGAGAAATTAGTAGCTTTGACCTTTAGATAGAGACCATCATTCATTTATAGCTGAATGTGGGCATGTAGCGGGCTGAGCCTGAGGTGGAGCATTTCTTTTTTACGTTAACCTTAACCCTTTATGGGGCACTCAGTGAGATCCTTTCAAACTAATAGTGTTTTTGAAATCCAGGACATGACCTTATTACCTTTGTAACATTAAAAAAATATGGACATCTTGATGGCAAAAATGAATGCCAATGTAAAAACAAGAAACGCCAACCTGCCTGAATATAGTAAGAGAAATAATAAAAGAGCTTCTATAAGAAATTCATGAAAACAATCTGAGAGTGAAAGAAACCCATTTATTTTGGTCCAAAATAACCTTAGAGGCATTAATGTTGATACTGGTGCTTATATTTTTTAGTTTATAAACCTAAATGTAATTGTTAACTAGGCTGATTAACTTTTTAACTTTTCAATGAGCCTTTTACATTTCTTTCTTGACTAGTTAACTTTTTTTTCCAAGTTAATTTCCAGTAGGTTATATATCATTCAAGGGCTCATCTAATTGGTCTAATGCCAAAATAAGATGTACAGCCATTTAGCAGCATCTTTGCTGAATGGCTGGATATAGATCTTCTGCTTCTAGACCTCACTGAAGGACAAGGGGGAGGGGGCTCCATTTGTAAGGGGGATGCAAGTGATCAAAAAGGCTAACTTGTCATATAAAGGGATAAGGTGCAGCCAAGATCCATAAAGCTACTGATACGTTTGAGCATCGTAAAAATAAATATTTTAGCCGTACGTCCTTTCAGTTTTTAGGTGTCCATACAGCCGTATGGATTCTATGCAATGCTTTAAAAAGAAGCAAATATTTGTTATTGCCATGAAGAGCCGAGGCGTGCTAACCAGATCCATGGTGCTAACAGATATTCCTCACTCTGCCCGAGTCCTGGCCCTACCTCAGAGGCGCTGCCGTTGGTGTTGGGGTTACGGGGAGCGTGGTGGCTGAGAGCTGATAAACAGGCCAGGATCAGGTGGATGGCGCCGATCTCCAGCGCCATGCGGCGCAGCAGCACTCCATCATCAGTGGTCAAAGGCGTGCTGCTGAACAGAGCTCGAAGGACATGGAACGGCAGCGTGGGCAAGACGTTAGCAGAAGGAGACTGCAGGATGTGACCTGGGAGAATATGGGAACAGTTTACAGAACAGTCAGTAAACTATGCACAATGCTGCGCTTCATTAGACAGATGAAGAGTTTGACCTTTCTGAGCTATCTCTATAATTGTGCTGCTATAGGACAAGACTGCTGGAGGACAAAGGGACCCTTTTTTCATCATTCTGCTTCATTCTATCTCTATTCTCCCACTCTGCAGAATCTGTTCAATCTCTAACGTTCTGCTCTCTCTGCTTTTCTCATAGTAGCTTCATCTGGTCTGTTCCTGTTTGGCTGTGACTCGTTCTGCTGGAGGTTTCTTCCTGTTCAAAGGGAGTTTTTCCTCTCCACTTTCACTATAAGCATGCTTAGTGTGAGGGATTGCCTTTGAGTCAATGAGTCGATGCAATCAACTGGTTTTCCTTAGATAGAAAACTTTGAATCAATCTGACTGGATGATCTGGTTGAACTGTAAAGTGCCTTGAGATGACATGTGTTGTGAATTGGCGCTATATAAATAAACTGAATTCAATTAAACTCAACGCAACGAGTTAAAGCTTCAAACTCAATGCTGTTTCTGACATTTTGAATTGGAAAACTTCCCTGGGCTGGAAATGATACATCTTCAAATTTTAAAACAAAATGGATTGTTGTTCTTTTTTTTTTTTTTTCAACTCTTTCGGAACACATGAAGGTGTTTTCGGACTTACTGCCTTCTCCGTCGTCGGTGACGCCCAGCACCAGGCGCAGCAGACACTGTGCGTGCTTCCTCTCCTTGAGCAGCACCTCGGCGTACCCCGGGAGGCGCAGGAACAAGCCGAATGCTGCCAGCGAGTGGGCGGGGATGGGGGACATGGACTGAACAGAGGATGAGGATGAAGAGGAGGACGACTGAGACTGCTGCTTGTTAACGGGAGGCGGCTCTGCAGCGACAGACTCTGGGGCTTCGTACACCAGCTCGCCCGACTGCTCGATGGTCACCCACTCAAACTGGTCGCTGTCCTTGGGTTTCTCCTGGGTGGACGCTGGGATCAATGGAGCGCTGACCTGTGGGAAGCATCCAGCCGGACAGAGACAGAGCAACCGAGTCGTCACACTCATCACACAGTCTTCACAATGGTTAATTTATGCAAAGAAGGTTGGCGTAGGCCCCCCACCTGCTGGATGACATCCGGGTAGAGCATTGGCAGCCTCTCTGCAATCAGGGCCAGCCCCCCCATCCCAGCGAAGACCTGCAGCGGTGACTGGATGGGGCTGGTCTCCAGCAGGGACTCGTCTGTCGCAGCGTCCAGACATTCGTCGCCGGCCATCATGGGTTCGTCTTCAGGACAGCTGCTGAGCATGTCACAGTGGTCCACTGAGGCGACACAAGAGAGGAGGCGTCTTTAAAAACAGGCACTATGAGAAGCAACAGCACGGCTTCTACCTTCCCGCTCACAGAACGGCTCATCAATCAGAGGAAGTTTTTATTGTTAAATCTAAAGTTAAGATCTAAGAGTTTCTGACTTTTCAGGGTTTCTAAAAACACTGAATTAAAAGTTTATAAACTGCCACAGAACTTCTGAACTTTGTTTAGGTTACAGTGAAAAAGGAAAAAAGGAGGTAGGAGGCAGAATAATTCAAGATGGTGGAATGTAATTGCAAAGTGTTCAGCCTCTATCAGCCTTAGAAGGTCGTTTCCTGGAAGATAATAACTGGCTTTTTGATTCGTGTCAAACGCAGCTAAATGAGTGACAGACACGTTTTTCTGTTAGCCTGCAGAAAGCGTAGAACTTTGTCTTATTCAGTTTTCTGATGGTTAAGTCCGCTCATATTCAGAATTCAAACTTCTTAAATTACTTTAAATATGAAATTATTCCATACTGTTCAATAAATGATCAGTGTTTTTAATTCAGAGTAATTTTCATTTGAATGTGCTAGTCCAGTTATTTTTTTTTTTACTGATTAACGCTGAATTCATTAAATCACCGCAAACGTATTAGTTTTAGGTGTAAATAATGATCCATTGATTAATGCTTACTAATCGGACTTTAAAAGTGAGGGTTAGCGTTTACCAGGAAGGAAAAAAATATATATTTTAGTGAACTCTAACATCAGCACTGAAGATTTCTTCACAAAAATCTGAAAAGTCAAAGGTTCTGTGCTCTGAGTGGGCGGGGCCTTTGTCACCTTTCTCGGTGCGGAGCCTCTTGAAGGAGTCGGTCTTTGAAAGGCCAGGGTCGGAGATAACCTTGGAGCCCAGTTTGACGGTGAGGTTTATGGACTGGTAGCCCTGCGGCAGCTTGCGCTCATACAGGAGAGTCAGCAGCTGAGCCAGGGTCATCTCAGGGGGGAGGGGCTGACCTGCAAACAGAGGACAGAGCAGAGCGGGCCTCAGACGTCAGCTCTGACTGCTGTCGGTCCCACCTGGTGAGCCGCCGTACCTGGCAGCAGCTTGTGGTAAAGATGGAAGACGGGAACGCTGATGGTTTTGGCTGAAGGGTCCACACCGGACGAAGCAGCCAGCTTGTCGCTCACGATGCGGCCCCTTCTTGACGGGGGTCGGGGAGGGGTCAGCAGCGCTCGTTTGGACTGGGACTTTAGACCTAGAGGTAGAAAAAAAGTTTTAAACTTCATGGTTACTTCCTCGTTGCTACAAAACCAGCTTCCCACCGACAAACATGGAGAGTTAGAGCGAGAAGAAGGCTACTCTGAACTTATCAGGCTAAAACCATTAAACTCATTATACTGGGCGACAGTGGTGTCGCATGCAGGGGTTTGCCCTGCAATCAGACAGCTGTCGGTTCAAGCCTGGCTTTAACTGTGTGTTCTTGGGGAAGGCACTTCCCCCACATTGCCTACTGATGGTGGAGCTTTGTTCAAGTTCTCTTGAACAATAATGTAAATCAAGATATATGTCTGACCAGATTCCCTTTAATGAGAGGAAAAATGCATTTTCGCACATTTGGCATTTTGCCAAAATTCCATTTCCGCTCATCACACTGCCCACTAAAACCTTTGTGGAACTAATATGCTCCCTCTAACCCCAGCCGCTGGTTTGGGGGTCAGCGGGAGGAACGGATGAGCACCTGTGGGAGTGGCTACGCTCCCTCAGTGAGAGGAGGAGCTGAATACCTGAGGCCACCACGACGCTGTAGTTATCCTGGAAGCCGTTGTCCGCCTTCATCTTCTCCTTCTCCTCATGATTCTTCTTCTCCTTGTCCTCCTTCTGCTCGCTGATCAGTTTGGCTGTGATGCTGGGAGTGTCTGCATGGATGGGAACGAAAAGAACCAAAGGAGTCACGTGTGTCCTGATCTTCTTCCACAGATCAACCAGGTCTGAACCATTTGTTCCAAGAGAAGAAATGACATCATAAAGAAAAACTACACAACAATGAAGGACGGCTCTAATGCCACCTTCACACCAAACGCAACTGAAGCAGCTAGTTTTACATGCAAAGTTAATAGTTGACGCGCATCAAGGCTCAGCAGCTCGTTTTTAGCAGCTGAAGCAGCGCCTCATGAGCTTCTGAGCATCTGAGGCATGTGGCGCGCTTCAGAAGCAGCAGCTGCTGGAGTTGGAAAAATTTAACTGTTGCTGGACGCGCCACATCAACCAATGAGAGAAGCTGATCTGGGAGCTGGCAGGGAGACAGACACAGCACTGCTGATGCAGAGCGCTATGATCACTCCTCTGAAACAGTTTATTAACGCCTAAATTAACTTGTTGAAACCTGTTGGCAATATTTGAAGGCAGGATGGTAATCTGGATGAACTGACTGCACAGACCCTGTTTTCCTGGATTTCCTCACTTAAAAACATATTAAAAATACTTTTTACCCACTGATAACAGCAAATCTAGCAAAGCTGCTCTCTGCATTGAACACAGGAGCAGCAGAAGCCTCAGATGCAACTGGACACACTTTACTGGACGTCTGACCTTAATGTGGACAAACATCAGCAATGAAGGAGCAGAAGTTTCTTTGCTGCTCAAATCACTTTCACTGTGAAAGTAGCATAAATGCCACTTTGTTTTCTCTTCCTACGGAGACAGGCGGTTTGTGAATCTGTAAAAGCAAACATTTGAAAAGCTGCTTATGGAGGCGTATGAATAGAGTGGCGGTGAAATCCTCAGTCTGCTCTCAAACCAACGGATCAGACTGAGAACGAGGCCTGAACAGACTGGAAACGATGAGGATCCTCATCTTCTACTTTCTGATCTCTGTGCCTTAAAAAAATGACCGAAGCAATCAAAGCAATCCTCATTAGGCTGCAGAGCAGAACAGGAATTAGTCGTTCTTAATTGAAATGATCTTCAGCTAATCCGGACATCCAGCTGATTGCGATTTTAAAGCAGTTAGTGTGAAGATGAAGGAGCAGAATCTAATATTAGCTGGATTGTTTTAGTTTCAACGCCGTTTCTGACATTTTGAAATGAAAAAGCTTCCTGGATGGAAGGCAAAACGTCTTCAAACTTGGAAACAAAGTTCAGTGGATTGTCTTTTAACTTTTTTGGAATGACTATGACCTGGAAGACTGAGAATCTTCACCAGCATATTGTCTTAGTAACCCGTCCTGAATCACCTCCAACCAAAGCGAACAGACACCTACCAGACACGCGGTCCAGGACCTCTGCTAGCGTGGTGGAGATGGGCAGATGCAGGGTGCGGTACTTGTGGCCTGCTCCATACATGGGGTGTTGGATCATGTGGCTGGTGGCATTGATGCGACCTTTGTACAACTAAGAGAGAGAAGGACACGTTATAGAGCAGAGATCTTAGACTCGCCATGAAGCCCCAGGGGAACGGAGCCACCTGGAGCTAAATGCTAGACTGCTTGGGTCTTCAGAGATGGTGAGAAGGCAGAGGACCCGCTACATGCTGTCATTTAGAGACTGGAGCTGGACTGAATAAGGCTGCTGGTGATCAGAATGGCTGCAGGGCTCCCGCCAACCCGCATCAATCTGTACTCCATTGCTCTGGCCTTTTCAGCTAGGTTTACTACACTGATTTCTATCTATTCCCTGGATTGCCTGAAACAAGTGAATCCACCATCTACCCAGCTGGTAACTCCCCCACTCCCACAGAGATGCACAGTAACAATGCCTACATCAGTTTACTGGCTGCAGGAAGACGTTTCACAGGTAATTTCAGTATATCATTCCCTCTAGACTGCAGATATTTTAGTTTTGATCTCTGGTAAAGAAAAAAAGAAATCTATATGGACAAGGAACAGATGGACCCCAGGAGGAGGAAGGAAATGCTGCCCCCTGGTGTTCACATCTGAACAGCACATGGAACAGTGGAAGGTGCTGCCATGTTTAAGGAGGAGGTTACTGACCGGACAAGGAGACTGGAGGAAGACGGTGACCTTCTCATCCTCCAGCATGAGCTGCAGGAAAAGTCTCCGGATGAAACCTGAGATGTTTCTGGAGATGGGAACGTTGGCCCTTTGAGGGGCGGACTGGAAGAGCTCACAGAGGACCTGCAGACAGAAACATGGTGGGAACAGGGATTAGCAAAGCTCAGAAGGATCTGGGAGGGCCTCTGGAGGAGCCTCTGGCAAAGCCCTGTACAGGGACTTTTGAGGCAACAGGGAGCCGGAAGGTACAGCGTTAAATACGAGCCAGAAGTTTAGCTTGATCTTTATGTTCAGAGACTCTGGCTGCATGGAAAGGAGGGGGAATAAAGAGGCACAGACCTGCGCCATGAGCCGCTGGTTGCTAGGGTGACAGGAGATGCACTGGAGGAAGAAGGCCACGGTTGCGTTTTCCAGAGCCGTCCTCTGCTGCGTGGTGAGGCCTCCTGATTGGGCAGAAGACGGCTGGGAGAAGTGAGACCCTGAATACGGAGCCGACCCGGAGCCCAGAGGCTGACCGGAGGCGGCGCTGGCGCTGGAGTGGCACAGCAGGAAGAGCAGAGCCGTCCACAGGGGGTAGACCTCGGGCCCGCCCAGCCAGTCCTTCATGGCGTGGCTGTTGCCGACCTCGGTGAGGAAGCGCAGCACAGGCGCCGCCAGCTCCGCGGCCAGGGCCGGCCGCCCATGCGGGGACGAGCACGGCGAGTGATAGTGGTGATGGTGGGGGCGCCTCTCGGCCTGAGCGGCGGGCAGAGGGAGGTCGGCGCTGACCAACAGTCCCACGCAGAACTGCACCAAGCTGCGGACCAGCAGCGAGGGAAGGCCTGAGTCCAGCAGCTGCTCTATGGCTCCAGGGGACTGGGAGGCGGCGGCCAGGGTGGTCAGCTGCGACTCGGACAGGTTGACCGGCGGCCTTGTGTGCTTGGAGTCGTCCGTCAGTCCCGCAGCGTTGGCGTGAGCGTCGTGCTGCTTTTTTCCGTCGTCCGTCATGGCCAGGCGGCGCTGCTGGGCCTGAGAGTGGCTGGCTGTGGGCCCAGAGACGATCTTCATCCAGGACATGAGCAGGGTGAAGTAGCTGGGATGGATGTGGCACATGGAGCACAGCAGGCTGTCCACCGCCTTCTTCAGCACCAGGTTGCACGGCAGCGACATGGACCAGTTATACAGCAGCCTGGAGGGAAGAGCGGCAAAAACAATCAGCTGTCAGGAGCATAGAGCGCTAACCTAGCGGCTGTGAGAACTGAACCCACTCAAAGAGCTCTCTGTTGAGCAGGCCGGGAAGGTCGTAGTCCACAGGCAGCTCGAAGCTGTGCCACAAGATGGCCGCCACGCAGTGCAGGTGGGAGGGGGACGGCATGAGCAGTCCATATTCCCTGGAGGAGGAGCCAGAAGAGGCGTACCCCGACGGAGCGCTCCTTTTATGAGCGGCCACTCTGGCCGAGTCGTAGACCCAGTGGAGGAGAGCCTGGATCCTGGAAGAGAAGCAGCCAGAAGGTCTTACAGTCGCTCGGACCGCAGTGCAGCCAGCCGGCGCTCTCCTTACCGGTCTTTGGTTCCGGGGTCCTGCGTGGTCCCCAGCTGGTACAGGATGTCGATGGTGGAGTCGGAGGAAAGGCCGTTCAGCCGCCCAAACAGCAGCGGACTGTTCAGATCTGTCAGAAACAGGCAGACACAAAAACTGGATCAGCAGAACCGTCTGTTGCCATGAAGAGCTTTCTGTGGCTGGACACACGTTCCCCAGAGAGGGACCAACAGTCCGTCTACACTGGAGGAACTGGTCCAAACCGATTCAGTGACACCAGATGAAACAGAATCAGGCAGCCAATAGGAGCAGCGGACGCTTCCTGACTGAACCTGGCCAATCAGAGCTCCCTTCTGGAGCAACCCTGAAAACCTCACTGAAGCTTTGCTAGCTTGTAGCCATTAGCAGGAACCAGAGCTTTAAAGGAAAAGTCCGGTCATATTCAGAATTCAAACTTCTGAAAGTACTTAAATTTGAAATTATTAAATGCTAGGAGGGGATGCAGGGGATAACTGATGCTTCGTAATGCCCAGGAAATGATGTGCATCATTTCCTGGGCATTACGCTGCCGCTCGTTATGCATAAGGTATTCTGTCGTTGGACAGAAGTTCTGGACTCATTATGAATACGCCATGTAAGCGCCCAAAATTGAAAAAACACCGAAAGTTCAGCGTATGCCAGAGTTTAGGGAGATTCTGGGACATCAGGCATACGCTGGATACATTAGCAAGGTGTGACAGGGCCCTCAGATTGAATGAAGCCATCCTTTTTTCAAGGAGTACAAGGGAAACTCAGGTTTTCCAAAGTGATTGCTTTATCAACTATTCCTTTATTGTTC